AATACATTATTAGTTTTAAAAGGCTTATTTACTTTCTTATCTGATATAAATATGAGTTCTATGTCAGAAAATTCTCATCTTAATATGTTCAAACATTTACTGCGGCATATATTATGTATATTTTATTTCAATATTGTTCATGAATGTTGATTAAAAGATTTTTTATTTATTAAATAATTTGATTATTGTGTCATATTTGTATAGGACAATTTTTAAAGCCATATTTAATTGATCTGATGAGGAAAGTTCCACAAGTGATCGATCGCTTTTTCGTATAAATATACACGGCTCTATGCAGTTCACTACGCTGATTTCTAATATCAGAGTTTTAGTAATCCGGAGACCTTTCTAGATTTTGTGTTATTACTCTGAATCGTCTTCTACTGATTGGAGTATTTCTCATCAAACTCAATCTTTTAATCAGTCTACCATGTACCACTAGACAAAATATGCACAGAAATACTTTTTTTTAGATACTTCAAACTTTAAGTTTAAAATGCTAAGATGGACCGTAAGATACAAAAAGCCTAAATATCCAAAAGTCCCCTTTTCGAGTCAATATTTTTTTACATAATGAAAGAATAAAAACAATAATATTATCTTCTGTATTGCATTACATAATGTCGCTCAATTTACCGCTTGTTTTAGAAACATGTCTTCATAGTGCCAATGTTTTATGTTTTGAGAAATTACCATACATGTTTTCTATTTCTCCCATTGATATATATTTTACTAAATATAGTCGAGTTATGACTAATTTTTAAATACATGACAATGAAACGAAAAGAAACGGTAGTCAATATACGAATTACTTCCCTGCTTCATATCTTAGTATGTGAAACTTAAGGTTGAAGTATCTATAAAAAAAAATATTCTCGTGGATATTTTGTCTAACGGTGCATAATAGACTGATTAAAATAATGATACAGAATTTAGAAACGCCTAAAGGTCACTAAGACCCTGATATTCGGACTCAGTGCAGGGAGTTGCATACACTCACCTATGGTTCTGGGAAAAAAGCAATTGATCACTTGGGGAATTTCTCTCGTGAGTAATGGGTTTTATTGTAGATGCTATGTCGTGATCAGTTTTATTGTGCAATCACTCTTTTAGACATTAGTATTCAATTGACTCATTTGTTTCTTTCCGATATGACGACGATGATGTCATTAATATTTATGAGTCTATAACAAACATTATCTAAACTGTACACCGGTAATAAGAGGTATAAGCACAAATGCATAGTTCAACTGCAAACGAAGAAAATGCAAGACAAATTAAAAAAGATCATCGGCATGTTTTTGTTTTTACTTAAACAAACAATTGTTTAGAAATTTATTTCTTTATTTTTTTATTAGAAATTTGTATCGTATTATCTCAATAATAGGTTTTGGAATATTTGCCTGTATTATTAGTATTATAGGTGTTCTATTGAGTTCCATTGGTTTAATAAAACAAATGCAAAATCAATCTAACGAATATTTAAATAATCCATGGGAAACAACATGCTTTGTATTTCAATATTCATATAATTCGCATCCATGTTATTCTTGTACTAATTCAAATTGTAATAAATCAATTTGTTATGATGAAAAAATTGAAGTTAGTTATTCTATATTTAATGGAACAGAAATTCAAAGTACTATTATGATCAAAGATAATCCAACCAAACATCATATTCAAGTTAGTATAATAATAAAAATAAATTAATTTATTCTTAATCAAAATTTTTTTTTAGGTTGGATATAAATATACATGTTATTATGATCGAATAATTAATTTAAAATCAGTTCAATTAGACTATATGTATTCAAAGTCTCAAACTTCAATAATTATTATTGGTATTGTTTTAATCATGATTGGTTTAATAATGCTTATCATTTTGTCTACTTATATTTTACTTGTTGAAAGACCTCGTGTAATACAAATGAAAAGAAGAAATCAAATGATAAGAAATTTATCTGGTGAACATAAATATGAAATTTAAAAGATTTTCCATAGATGATTTTTTGTTCGTAAAAAAGTTATACAGATGAAATGTTTTCCGTTGCAAAAAAAAAACTCATGATTTGTTTTTATAGCATTTCATGACTTGTGTATTTCTTTTTTAAATATGATTATTTATTCTCACTTCATTTGTTTTAAGATGATTTTCTTTTGTTATCTAATAAATAAATATTTCTTGACTTTACTAACGAAAATATAAATCAAGTTACCATTAATTTCTCGACAGAAAACTAGAAACTCATGGATTGTATTATTCTTCATCAATCTACATATCTTAGTCGGACTAGATATTAAAAATCAAATTTTTCGATTTATTAAACATTCACCTCACAATTGGAAACATTCTCAGCTTATCAAATTTTTCAAAAAAAAAACAGTTTCATCCGACATCAAAAACAAAAAACATATGACTGTACTTTTATAAGATTTGTGAACCTTTCCCAGCACAAAATTGAAGATATTAACGTACCCTAATAAATCCTCAAGTATAACTCAAAAACAAACTTCCGTCTTGATTTTGCCTTCCGGATAGTTTTATTTAACGTCACTCATGCGTTAATTATTCAATTAAGTCACATATATGCATGTTTATACTGCGAAAACTCGGGTACTGTTCTTCTAGTTTGTTTTTTGACTTTCAAAATGAATCTAAAAAAATAAGCGTTATTTTTCAACTCTAAAAAATTCCATCAATTCAATTTCTTTACTGAATGAACATTGTGTTTCTTTTCAGTAACCACTAATATGAAAATTGATTTTTCGATGAAAATAAGAACATTTGACACTTTTTCTTAAGTTAACAGAAATATTTAACTTCACACGTTCTCACCTTTATATGTTTGTGTCGTTATATAATAACAAATAGCAGCTTTCAATTTCAATAGAATACAATTAAGAAAATTTTTCAAGAAAAAACATGACAGAAAAGAAGAAGGTTCTACCCTGATTTGAACAGGGGTTACTGGAGTCAGAATCCAATGTCCTAACCACTAGACTATAGAACCATTGATTCTCTTATTTAATTTAAAAAAATTTTGTTACAGATTTCAATTATTATGAATTTATTTCGATACATTTATTAAACAAGATAATATCGTTCATTACGTTTTCTTTTTAAAATTTCAATTAATTGTTGTTTATAATCTTGATATTGTTGTCGGATAGCATGTTGATACACTTTTTGATCACCATCAAGTAATGAATAGAGTATTGATAATTCTTCAGTATTTAATAAAGGTAAACATTGTAAAAACGAATTCATATCGACGGTAAGTAATGAAAAATCTTCACAATTAGCATTATTGTTTGAACATACAAGACAAGGAATAGATCGAGATAAATTAACAGGAATTTGTTCAGTTGATTTCCTTTGACCATATAGCCAATAAGAAAAATAATCATCAAGTGTTTTTGGAAATACATGTCGTTTAATTGCCATCATTATTCCAGCTTCTATATGAGAACGTACAAGACGATAATCTGCTGGTTGCATCGTTTTTCTTTTTTTCTATTCTAACATGAAATGATTATGTTCATATCTTTTATAGAAGGTTATTATATAATGATGTCTTTGATAGTATTGATTATTTCATCATTTAACATCGATATGTGATGAACGTCAAAGAAATAACAAATTATTTTTCATCATTCATTTAAGAATATGAATGACAAGGACAACATGCTGTTGAGAGATTTTCTATTCATTAGCAATTAAATATTGTTCATTGATTGATTCTTTTAATTAATGAGTATAATTTTATCTCTGAGAAAAATTTTAGCATTGTCACTTATTCCGATGCAATACATTTAGAATTCAACTTTTTTTTTTTTTCTTTTGTGTTGAATAATTTACAGCTGTGTGAACTTTTTAGTCTTTGTTAAATATTTGTTGACAGGAATCGTTTATATATATATTCATAGTTTGCCGAAGAGAAATATTTGTCACATAGTCGAGATTCATTTATCGTTTCTCTTCGTTTACTTTCATATTGGATTTTTTTTCTTTTTTTTTTTTTTTCTTCCAAAAGAACGAGTAAAAGAACAGAAAAGAACTATCTGATAATATAGCTCTAAGAATTTTTTGTTTTGTTTTTTTCGTTAAAGAATAATACTATGTGGTGTTTACAAGGTTGTTTAATGCACGCACAAAGTAGATATATGCGCTAGCAGCAATTCAGTCGTTTTTCTTTTTCTTTTTTCTTCCAGTAGTTTTATCTTTCCAGGTCGACAGAACGCACGTGCCTTTTAAAATTTACAGTAAGAATATAAAAAAACGTGTGAGTATTGTCCTTGATTCATTCAATGCTTTTTTAATGATTGAGTACCGAAAAAATTTTTTTGAATTGTATATGTAATGTGTACATATGGAGCGAACTAGAAAATTAGTTTTTTTCTGCAATGATATTTCTTATAGTTAACTCATAATAAAAAGAAAAAGAAAAATAATATTTATTTATATTAATTTGTTTGAATACATACATATTGATAGAAAAATATTTAACTTTAAAATAATTTTCTACAATTTGTATTGTATTATTCAGTATACATAGGTATAAATGTTTCTTTCTTCTGTATTTGATAAATCATCAATCCTGGGTTTTTTTTTCTTTCCTCACATAGTGGTGATGATGATGATCAACATTGTGTTGGGAGTGACGAATGAGACGAATATTGAGAAGCGACCTTCTTGTGTTTGCATAAATGTATTTATGCAAACGTTTCATAAATGAATGTACGATGATGTCGTACGATCGAATGCACAACGATGATTTTATTTCTATACTTATTATTTTTGTTATTATAGAACAATCGAATTATCTATAGATGTATTTTATGATCTATTAACGAGGATGTAAATGTATTGCAGCTTTATTTGAATAAATTTTATAGATTTATAGAACATATATACGCATTATAATCGTCAGATGATTTTATAAATAAAGTAAGAATCGATCTGTTTTTTTATGATGATAGGCCATTATGATTTATTTGTCGGATACACATAGGAAATGAAAAATGCTATACCAAATTTTGATTAATATGCTCTTTTATGTGTCAAAAGAAAGGACATTTTATAAATAACAAAAATCCGATGTCTTGTTGTCGATGAGACACTTTAGTAAATTCAATCGAATAAATCTATATTTTATGTGTTACTTTAAAGAGCATGATAAGAATACTCGTAATATAGATTTGAGCATTTTATTAGATAATCTATCTATATTTATTGATGTCGATATACAGAGAGAATTCAAGAAATATAGGAGAAATATAGCAAAAGAAATGTCAACATAACCTTTGTTATACTTGTCTTCGATTATGTTGATAGAGATAGGCCTTGTCTTGTTTAGAGAATAAATATTTCAAAGAATATTTATCAGAAAACAATTTTGTTAACCTTGTGAATGTCATTTTTATATATATATGTTATTTGATATTATACAATAGAAATGATAATTTTATTCATAAATTATATAGAAAACGATTCCTAATCATTTTCGACAGCTGCGAAATAGTGTAGAGAATAGTTTTTTTTATTATATGTCTAAAGATAAATGAAAAGGCAGATTTCATAGAGACACACTTAAAAAGTATTGTTTCAAATTTGACAGGCACATAGATTATTAATTATCATTTCAACTGTAAAAATACTCAGACGCACTTCTATAAGTTTGAAAATATCATTGATGTAAATCCTTATGAGAGAATTTTTTTTTTGAATCACAATCTGAAATAAGTATTGAAGTATAGGAGAAAAAATTTGGGCCACCGACGCCCTTCACAGATCATGGTAGACACCTTAACAAGGTCCTTCTCCATTACAATCTGTAATAGAATTAATAAAAGAATTAAAGCATGCTGTGAGATTATTATGAAAGACGATTGCATCGAAGATATCTGTCTTTGCTTCCCTTTCTAAACTAGCTGTAACATATTATCAATGACATCTTTCATCACAGACATACCACTACGTTGGAAATCGGAAACCAAAACATATGTCACAGGTGCATCGCATTTTTCATTTTAATTCTGCAGGGATTGTGTTAATTACATTTTGAAATAGTATTCTATTCTTGAAAACAAATATATGCTTAGTTTGTGTAAAATATTTCTTTACTAAATTATTGAATACCGTTTTATGGTAATTTAGATTTTATCTTATAATTTAGAATGAACATCAATCTATTTAATTCGATTATATTAAATTTAATTATATTAAAAATAATTTATCCATTAGTAAATAGTACAACATCTTGCTCAGTTTTTTTATCATTAAATTGTTCTTGTTTTCAATCGAATATTGATTTAAATTTATCATTACCTACGACAATATATTCACATTTATATTGTCAAGGATATTCTTTAAATAAAAATACATTTCAATCACCATTTGGATATCATTATTACTATCAAAATCGTTTTCGTACAATTTCATTAGAATTTTTTCTTAAAAATAAAGTAGAAATTCATTCAAATCAATTTGATTCTTTATCAACATTATTTTCTCAAACAGATAATGATGCAGAAATTGAATTATCTATTCGATTTAATGGTTTTACTCATATTACATTTAACAAATATTCCTTAACTTCAAAAATCTTTCACCAAAAACATTATAGAAAACATTTACGGTTACATTTTATTCCAATAACGCCTAATTATATTCAAGTAAATTATCTTTTGTTCAGATTTATTTATTTTTTTATAAATAATTATATTTAGATGGAACCCGGTGAAAAGAACTCTGCTGGTATCGATGATCAATTTAAATTTTCGGAAAATTGTTTTTCTGGCTTAAATGTTTCTCATTTAAATATCTATAGTTATATGAAAAGAGATCATCTCTCATCATCATTTTCATTTGAACATGTATTCAATAATACAAATATTGGTGAACTTCATTTTCATGGATCAATTATTCCTCCTGGCCCATATTCTCTAAAACGAACATTTAAAGGTCTTGTTAGATCATTAACACTT